TAAGCACCTCATCGAAGTGGAATCAAACAGCATTTGTCTTTCTGTGACTGGCTGATTTCATTTAGCAAAATGTCCTCAGGGATCACCCACGGTGTAGCAGGCATCAGAATCTCCTTCCTTTTCAAGGCTGATTGATACTCTGGCGGATAAAAATGCCACGTTCTGTTTATCCGTTCATCTGCTGCCTACTTGGGTAATGTCTGCCTCTCGGCTCTTGTCCATAATGCTGCTGTGGCATCCACGTGTCAGTTCAGTCCCCTGCCTCAATTTCCCAGAAGTGGAAATGCTGGATCATACGGTGAGTCTGATAGATCTTTGCGTGTCGAGCCATCCCTGCATTCCAGGGATAAATCCTACTCGCTCCTGGTGCAAAATCCTTTTAATGTGCTGCTGCTATTAATACTACTGGCAATTTATGAATATTATTTCTCCTACTAGTAGTAACATTATTACTCTTTTTTTGTTAAAAATTTATTTATTTTTGAGAGAGCACAAATGGGGGAGGAACGGAGAGAAGGGGACAGAGGATCCGAAGCCGACTCCACTCTGCTGACAGCAGCAGAGCCCGACGCGGGGCTCGAACTCACAAACCGCGAGATCATGACCTAAGCCGAAGTCAGATGCTCAGCCAACTGAGCCACTCAGGTGCCCCAACATCATTATTCTTAATACCTTATGGACCATATATGGTACCTCATAGCAGCTGATAACTGTACTGTTGGAAAGCAGACTTGATCCTCCCGGTTATAAAGAAGAGACAGCAGTATTAGCCATTTGATAGGGAAGAAAACTGTGAGACAAGAGAGGAAAAGTCACTTTCCCAGGGTCAAGAGCTGCCACATGCAGATGGATTACTGACCAAGCCCCTTCCTTATGGCCCTGACAGAGCTGAGCAGGAGCTGTTGAGTATATGGCCTGTGAGGACAGACTTCAGCAGGTGAAATTAAAGCTCTGTGATTGTCAGAACAGCCTAGAACCACCTAGGGAGACAAGAGACCACACTAGACAGCGTGGCCTCCACTCTAGGGGTCTCCCTGCAAAGCTGAGGAAATCTCTGCCGGAGGAAATGCTGTAAGGGAGACAGTTCAAACATCAGATGGGTGTAAGACCATGGGGGAAGGGGAGGGGAATAATAGTAACAAACAGAGAGGGAGGGAGGCAAACCACAAGAGACTCTTAAATACAGAGAACAAACTGAGGGTTGATGGGGGGTGGGGGAGAGGAGAAAGTGGGCGATGGGCATGGAGGAGGGCACCTGTTGGGATGAGCACTGGGTGTTGTATGGAAGCCAATTTGACAATAAATTATATTCAAAAAATAAAATAAATGAACCAAAGAATGAACCAAAAAAAAAAAAAAACAAACCCATCAGACGGGTATCAGAAATGAACGTACATTACTTAAAAGCCGCTTTAGCTTCTACGGCTTGATTATTTGTGGGTCTTTTCAGCACTAAGCACTAAAGATAAACAAAATTTTGGAATTACCACCGTGTTCGGAAGCTCCGCCTGTATTCTGAAGGAGTGTTATTTACAAGAAATACGTAGAATCTAAAGACGATGCTTCCACTCTGGATATTTCTAAGGACAGCAGCTTTGTCTTACACGTTTATCTCTTACAAGCACAGGATGTGGTCTACGAATAAATATTTGTTGGATGAAAGGAAGATGGAGCAAATGCATGAATGCATGACATTCAATGGATTTTCCTACCTCCAAAGTAATTTTTAAATGTTGATTTATTCTTGTAGAGAGACAGAAGGAGAGAGAGATAGACAGAGCACGAGCTGGGGAGGGGCAGAGAGAGAGGGAGACGCAGAATCCGAAGCAGGCTCCAGGCTCCGAGCGGTCCGCACAGAGCTGGACGCGGGGCTCGAACTCACAAACTGCGAGATCATGGCCTGAGCTGAAGTCGGACGCTTAGATGACTGAGCCCCGCAGGAGTCCCTAAAGTAACTTCAAAGGGGCGTTTGTAGCTGGTTAGGGAAGGAAGGGACCCTAGAGATCCCTGAATCCAGCCCTTCCTGTTGACCCACGGGACTCAGTGGCCAGCACGGTGCAGAAGCGTGCCCAAAGTCACCTGGCGATGTTGCGTTCCTTCCCTTCCTGACGATAGCTTATTATCAGCTAACGCGGTGTCGCTCCCGTGTTCTAAGATTTCCTGTAAACAACGACAGTAAAGCAAAGATTCTATATGATCGCTGAATATATGTACAGAGGGCTTGCTCTAGGCATCACTACTTCGGTTTCGTGGCAAAGGTAAAATTCACAAATAGCATCATCTGTTTTGGAAAGCTCTTTTAGGGCTTAATCTGCCACAGAGCTCCCCTTCCAGCTAACCGAAGTCTCTCGGGCTGTCTTGTGTCAGTTTCTGAAATGAAATGGACCCTTTTCTCTGGGCTCTCACAAGACTACGCCTCCTCTGCTATGGCAGGCCTCCTCACACTGTGTTTAAGACACAAGGCGCCTTGGGGCACCTGGGTGGCTCAGTCGGTTGAGTGTCCGGCTTCGGCTCAGGTCGTGATCTCGCGGTCCGTGGGTTCGAGCCCCGCGTCGGGCTCTGTGCTGACGGCTCGGAGCCTGGACCCCGCTTCAGATTCCGGGTCTCCCTCCCTCTCTGCTCCTCCCCCGCTCACGCTGTCTCTCTCCCCTTCAAAAATAAACAAAAACATTAAAAAAAAAATTAAAAATAAAAGACACAAGGCACCTTGTGTCTTCTCCCTCACGGAAGCACAGGCTGCTTCGGGCGGAGGATCTGGCAGGTGCCAGTGCTGACCACAGGCCGGGCACATGGAGCCTGCTCAGGAGATAGGCTGGATTCACACCCCAGAGCCCCCGGAGCCCCCTGCCTTCTCGTCAGAGTCAAGGACGCTGAGGACAAGGCAGAGTAAGTGAGGGATTCCTAGTTGTTTCGCTGTTTCCCGGGAGGGCTGGAACTCAGAGATTTCACACACTTCAGACAGAAGAGGGTTCTGCCGTTCAGAGTCTCTGTGTGTCCACGTCAGGTGCCCTGAGAGTCTCCGGGTGTCCAGATCAGGTGCCCTCACAGTAACTTTACGGTGACGATGAATCAGCCAAAACCACTCCCAACGCTCATGGCGCCCAAGGGAAGTTGAGGGGAAACCTGCTCAGAATGTGCCCCACACGCTCTGGTCCCCCTGAAACTCCTGCCCATCCAACAGGAAAACGGGAGCACTTGTCCACGGCGAGCACCCCCCCTCCAACTCTGGCCAAAACTGCGAACCCCTGCATCGGCTTCGTCTTCCCTTTTTCTGCGTTCAGTTGACCCAGGCCTCGCCTTAGCAGATGAAAGAACAGGACAGGGGAGAAAGAATACATTTTATCTAACTGCTCCCACACCTTTCCCCAGACAGAGTCCAGGGAGGGAATCCCGTAGGGAATCCCAGGAGGGAATAGGGGTTCCGGCTGGCACCTCAGATCTAAACCAGTAAGCCACACTGGGCCACCGGGGAACAGAAGCCGAGAGTCCCCCCCTTTTCTGCTTTCCTCTGGATGTGCCCCCCGGGATGTTATCTGGGAAACCAATGGATTAGAAAGGGAGGGAATCTGCATACTGACTTTAGAAATTCTTAGGGGAATGTGACTCCTTTTTACTGTATAAAAAGACATAAACGTGCATATGAATAGGCGATTTTATTGCTGGATTTGAGCATTACATTTTATTAGTGTAGTGGGTGGGTTTTCTCGCACTCATTACGACTGTTAGCAGCAAGGACCGGAGAGCTTCGCCCGCGTGCACGAAGAGCAATGTTCTGGGGGAGCCTCATACAGCGTCTCTGCATGTGTATCCAGGCACCGTGATCCTTGAGGGCAGGGGCCACTTCCGTTTGTTTATTTGTTTGTTTGCTTGTTTGTTTAGCACGTGCTAGTCGGTGAGGGGCAGAGAGAGAGGGAGAGAGAGAATTCCAAGCAGACTCTACACTCAGCGCGGAGCCCTGACACGGGGCTCCAGCCACGACTCTGGGATGGTGACCTGAGCCGAAATCACGAGTCGAACGCTCAGCCAATGGAGCCACCCAGGCGCCCCAGCTTCTCACTTTCCTCTCCCCACAGCATGCTGCTGGGCGTACATTCTGTGCTGATCTGCATCTTCTGCTTTTAATTCTGGTGGCAGTGTTCTCCCCTCTGCCCTGCGCTGCCCTTAGACACGAACAGGCTTTCTGCAGGCCGAGTTCCATCCTGGCCCCATCGATTTCTGTGCGATCAGCCCAGGAAATGAATTGGCAGGCAGGTGGGGAGATGTTACGAAATGAATGGTCATTGAGAACTCCATCAGGAGCTGGAGCCAGAGCCCAGAGGGAAATGTATCACCAGAGACAACAGCGCTAGGACTTAGGGACGGGTCCCCCCAGATGCTGGCTCCTGTCCTCAGGGCTCACGTGAAGCTCTCCCAGTCCCTGCAGGACAAGTACGTGCAGTCATAGAAGATGTGGAGAGCGAGCATGAGTTGTGGGGGAGAACAAGCCAGGGAGCCAGGCTAATCTCGCTTACATCTGACCCCTGAGCTTCGAGCAAGTTGCAAAAGGTCTCCAAGCCTTAGTTTCTCCATCCATAAAATGGGTATGACGACACTCTGTTTTGTGATGGGTATGTAAGTTAGTATGATAGGAAAAGATAGGATAAACCAGTCCGAGAGGGAAAGATTAGCACCTGCGGTCCCCAGTGGGGAAAAACACATATTTTGAAACAATGATGGGAGTGTCTGACCACAGCAAACCCCCTCCGGCCTAAGGTTCCTCCTGAGTGTAATAGACACCACCTACTCCCCCTCAGGATCCCCTCAGGCATTGGGCAATCAAAGACCCGACGACAAAATAAGTAGTAGACCATGAAATGTATGACCCACAAGGAATGATACGGTCATAGGTCACCCCTTGTGATGGAATCAAGCCAATCAGGAATGGACAATCCAGGACTAGAGTTATCAAGCCAGTAAGGGTAAAACCCCCCCCCCCCCCCCCCCCCCCCCCCCCCGGGGGCGGGCACCAGAACCTTATAAAACAAGGATCTTTGCCTGTAGTCACGGGCATTCTCTTTCAAATATCCCCTCTCTGCAAGGAGAGCTTTCATGGTATTCTTACTCTCTGATCTTACACTCTAATAAATTTCTGCCTGCTGCTCATTTGTGTCCATCTTTTCGTTCTTCGAAGCAGCGAGACCACGAATCCCGGGGATTGAGGTAAAGAATCCTGCAACATCAGCAGAGAATGAGTCACTGAACATACATCCCCTTTCCCAGTGACCGACCCGTCATCTACGCTTTTAACAAATGAATAAACGAATGAGTATAAATTTCCTACCACAGCGCATGTCGTATAGTCTGCTGTTAAAAAATCAAGTCAGTTCCCTCACCCACCAAGATAGCATCCCTCCCACCTGTTGGCTTTCATGATTTGTACATGCTGGCTCAGACTGGTGAAATGATCGTGTCAAAATTACAGAGAGACAAGCCACAACTCCTACTTCCCATCCGCCATTCCTCTGTTCCACATGGCTCCCGCTAGCTCACCCCCACACCGCTTCCAGAGTAATACAGAGCAGTTGTCCGACCTCTCCCAAAGAGATCTTCCACACCCACTGGGGTGACACTGAGCAAGATCCTTACTTCTGCCTTCCATCACCTCCCGTCTTACCATTGGCCATGGTTAATTTTATGTGTCAACTTGTCTAGGCCACGAGACCCAGATATTTGGTCAAATATTACTCTAGATGTTTCTTTAAAGGTGGTTTTAGGGGCGCCTGGGTGGCACAGTCGGTTAAGCGTCCGACTTCAGCCAGGTCACGATCTCACGGTCCGTGAGTTCGAGCCCCGCGTCGGGCTCTGGGCTGATGGCTCAGAGCCTGGAGCCTGTTTCCGATTCTGTGTCTCCCTCTCTCTCTGCCCCTCCCCCGTTCATGCTCTGTCTCTCTCTGTCCCAAAAATAAATAAACGTTGAAAAAAAAAAAATAAAGGTGGTTTTAGACTAGATTAAAATTTAAATCAGTATACTTTAGTAAGGCAGTTTATCCTCTACAACGAGGGTGGGCCTCATCTAATCTGTTGAAGGCTTGAATTAAAAAAAAAAAAAAAGATGAACCCCTCCTCCAGGAAGGAGGAACTCTACTGGCAGACAGCATCAGCCAGGTGGTCAAGCTTAAACACCAAGAGTCATAAATCAAGTCGATTGTTTGCACCCTTGACATATGATGAAAATGGCACTTACCTCTTCTTCCCCTGAAACTCATAACCCCAGTCTACTCACGAGACAAACCGGTTCCAATGGTAGGGCTTCCTCAAAACTGCTAAGGACACCAAAAAACGAGGGCAGTCTGAGGAACGGCCGAGAGGAGCGTCAGGAGACGTGACTGACTATAACGTGGTACCCTGGATAGAAGCCTGGAACAGAGAAGGGACATTAGAACCTAAGACAATCTGAATAAAATGTGGACTTGGTTGACAATAGGGCATCGATATCAATGCACTGACTACAAGCGATGTGCCAGACTGGTTTGAGATGTGAACGCAGCACCCCCTTTATCTGAGGTTCAGTTCCCCGCAGCCGACTGAGGTCCAGAAGCAGACGATCCTCCTTGTGACCCATTGTCGGAAGGTCAACGGGAGGCTAGGTCACGGCTCCTGCATCATCCCTCTCGTTCCATCTCATCACGTAGGTGTTACAGCATCATACATCCTCACAAGAATAAAGGTGAGTACAGATATTCGGAGAGAGAGAGACCATGTTCACATAACTTTGATTATAGTATATTGTTATAATTATTCTATTTTATTATTAGCTATTGTTGATCTCTTACTGTGCCTAATCTATAAACTTTATCAGTGGTGTATATGTGTGGACAGGAAAAAAACATAGTATATAGAGGGTTTGGTCCTATCTGGGGTTTCAGGCATCTCCTCAGAGTCTGGGATTGCACCCCTCGCAGGTAAGGGGGTACCACTGTGATAAGGGAAGTTATGTGTGGAGTATATGGGTGTGCTTCATACTGTCTTCTACATTTTTCTGTAAATCTAAACCAATAAAGCCTCTTTTTAAAGAATGGGAAAGTTATTAAACATCAACAAATATCAATATCTTGACCTTACTTGAATCCTGATACACACACACACACACACACACACACACACAAAGAAAGAAAACCGGGACTCAAACCACTAGTCACCTGAGACACTGTGGACGCACTCATGTTTCTTTAATTGATTTTCCCTTTTCCCATAGAACGACATTCACAGAACTTAGTTGAAGTGGGAAATTCTCTCTAGCCTTAGTCTTTCAGGACTGGGAGAGTTACCTCTCAGGAATTCATCTCCCTCCACCCTAAGGCCAGATCATAATAGTAACATTCTGAAGAAGGAAGTCAACTATCGGGATTCTGATGAGGACAGTCACTGCCCAGGTATTCTGTCACTCAAGAGCCACCTATGCTACCCAACCACACGCGGTTCACGTCTGCTCTCTAGCTCCACCTACTGGACCTTGTCTAAACCACCATGATCTATGCACATGCCCTACAACACTCAATGCTAGGCACTAAGGGCAAAGAAAAAGAATCCATTGTATCAGAGAATACTGGGATTGCAGAAGAGTTTTATGACGAATCTCTTCTTTTATTGAAAGGAAATCCAAGTGTTACATGGGTTGAGTATTACCAGGTGTGGAGCCAAATTGACCAGGGTTTGAACCCTGGTCCTGCCATTTTTTAGTAATGACGCCCAGGCAAATCACTGACTCTCTTTGGTATGGACTCCCCTCATGGGAAATGGGATAATGAAACTGCCCTCCACGGCTGTTGTTAGTTTAGTTAATTTTGGCTTGTTCCATTTTAAGTTTTGGATATGAGGGCACAGAAATTTTGGTGGATATTTCTTGGTTGATACTCAGACTTATAATTATCAATTTTTAGATCCAACCACACACACACGTGCATAAAACATGCACACACACGCTTACATGTATACATCCTTCCATTGAGAATGAAAGGACTTGAGGGAGAGCCATTGCAAGTCTGGGTCAGGTGCAGAGGCAGAAAAAAAAAGGCATGAAAAAAGCAGCTGGAACCAACAAGGTTAGCAAAAGTGAACATCGTCTCCATCCCTGGACCATATTCCATGAAACCCATTCATGTATTCATCCACTCATCCATTCAAAAAATTGTTACCTCATGCTTACTATGTACCAGACGCTGGAGAAGCATCTGGAAAGTGTCAGTCCTTGCCCTCGTTTCGCACCATTGTCAGCTTTTGACTCTGACCTTGTGCTTTCACCAAAAAGAAATTCCTAAAAGAGTGACTTTGGTTTCTCTAGTAATATCCAAGGAGATGGGTACCCAAACCTGCCCACACAGAAATCTGGTCAACTGAGAAAGTCAATATCAATGACAAAAAAGGAGTCATTGGTCTACCACTGTTGCAAGTCCGTAGTCATTAAAATTACCCACTTAGCTCCTCTCACTCCGAATCCACGTTGGCAGCAACATTGGGACCAGCCACACGGACAGAAATTTGTGGAGATTTTTTTCCCTCCTGGGAGCGGTTGTTGTGCCCAACAGATGCACACATTCTGATCTTCCTCATAGAATCATAGAATCTGCCACTGTCACACGGTAGGCAGACAATTTGATTTATACATTGTAGGAGCTCAACTGATATCTGTTGACTAAAAGACAAATGGATAAATACCAGCCTCTAGGGGACTGGTTAAATATAATTAACAAGGGATAGGTCACCTATCCGTGCACTAGTCAAATGGCGTTTCTGACTTAGAGATCCCACCTTGGATTTTGTTCACAATACCAAGACTTCACCCTTCTGTTTGTAACTGAAGCACACAGCCTCATTTTCGTATGCCCTGATACAACGTGCACAATTTATTATCCACCTTCAAAAAGTCATAGTGTAATTGTTACCTGCACGCTTACATTCCTAGATAGCCTGCAGACACGTTTTGAGAGTAGAATCCTTGCGACATTTTCATTTTCTCAAGGCAAGTCACCAAAGCTCTTTCCCTCCACTCTGGCTTTTCCCTCTAATCCCATTTATTCAGCACTTACCCAACAGGCACCTGCTGTATGCCAGGCCCTGTGCTAGACAACATGAAATGATTGATGCTGTCCCTCTTAACATCCTCTCCTCTGATTCTCTCTTTAACTCACTGCACTTCATTTGGTGTCTTTGACTTTCAAGCATATAAATGTACCTAACAGAGGAGAACATTGGGTTCTTGAGTGGCAGACTCAAAAAATGCACCCTTTTATTATGGTTCTGGACTGCTCTGTTGCATCTGATTCCATTACCTTCCTTTCTTCTAGTAATCCCTCCCTTTTCTCTACCTTCCATGACACCATTATTGTCCAGCCTTCTTCCCTTTCTTTCTGGAACTTTGAACCAACATATCCAATCGTATCTCCGTTTGAATATCCCCTCGAGCAGTATAAAGTCAATGTGGCCAAAATCAAACAGGTCATAGGGTCCATTAAAGAGGAGTACTGAGGATGACAGGATTTTCTGAGTTGGGCCCTCAGACTGGGGAGAGATGTAGATTGGTAGCATTTTCAAAGGTTTTAAAGGTGAAGGTGCTATCACTACTCCAAACCCAAGTGGCCAATGCAAGGACCTGGATGTAAAATGGAGCCCCAAACTGGAGGACACGGTAAGCAGAAGAGGGGCAAACAGCCGAGTGGGCAATGGATGGCAGTCGATATGCAGCTGCTAACGGAATAATCTTTAAACTGGTCTGTGTGAACGTATGAAGTCCATTGAAATGAGTAGTCTGGCTGCCTTCAAAGCCCATGACCTTTTAACTGCTGGAGATCTCAGAGCGGAGAAGATAATGTCATTGGGAATGATATCTATGGAACCCCAACGGAGTCATCCTTGGAATGAACCATGCAAACCCTGTGGCCAAGGGAGCTTAGGATTCTCCACGAAGAGAGAAAAGCGCATTAGTGACCACATCCACAGTCCTCTGCTCTTCCAGAAAAAGTTTAATTCGAGTCCAGACGTCTGCACAGCCACATGCTTCAGACCTACACGTGGTAGGGTCAAGGCAAGAAATTGTGGCAAGAATTGTCCTGCACGTGGGATGTTTTTCCTTTAGGGGAGGGAGGGAGGGAGGGAGAGAGAGAGAGAGAGAGAGAGAGAGAGAGAGAGAGAGAGAGAGTCACACAACTGTGAAAGGTTAATTAGTATTTAAACACACAATTGTGTTTTCTATTTGGTCTGACTGGGAAAATAAATTATGTTTTTCAAAGCACAGGCTTGCAAGCTATAATTGAAAATGGGCACGGGGAGTACAGCTCAGTCAGTGTGGCAGAAAACAAGAGAAATCAAACGGAGGCGAGCAGGGGTGCCTCCCTCCCCCTGCCTGGGGCTGAATCAGAAAGAGAGGAAGGGGATGCAGCTCGAGGACCAGAGGGAGTTGCCTTCTTACCCTGCCCCTATCCCTGCTTCTTCACCTTAGTAAACTCGGGCGGCTTAATTTGCTTTGCTGAACTCCTGGGTTCTCATTTGTAAAATGAAGCTGATCGTACTTTTTCTCAGCGTGTTTTTGAGGATAATGAGATAACGTTTGGGAGAAGGGCCAGTAGAGTGTCTGGCACAAAACAGGTGTTCAATAAATGCCTGTCCTCAATAAATGTTTATTCGGTCCACTTTAATCTCTCTCTTCTCTGAACATCTATGATATTTCTAGAAAAGCCAAGAAAACAGCCCTTAATGAGATAGCGTCCTCCACTGTGTTCTAATTGTATCATGTTTAGATTGTCAATTCAATCCACTTTCATTTCATTTACTTCAATTAAGGAACATTTGTTAAGAGTGTTCTGAGCACAATACCAGGGAATACAAAGATACAAATAAGATCCAGTACGTGCCCTCCAGAAGCTTCAAGCACATTGAGAGAAATAAGAAACATCGGCGAGGGGCCTCCGATCAGGATTCGGACACCTACTGTTGAGGAGCAGAGAGCTCCCACAAGGGTGGTCATGTCCATTATCATACGTGATTTTTCTAGTAACCTCGCGGACTTTACATGAGGAAGTTGAGGCTCAGAGAAGGTAACTGACTTGTCCAAAGTTGCTCAGTACAGACAGACGAGAGAATGGGGCTTGAATCCACATCTGCTCCCCCAAGCCAGCTCCGTGCTCTGGTCTCCCCAGGGCCCCCTGCCCCACATCTGCCTGGCCCAGGCCACGGCCTACCTTCCAGTCTTCAGCTGTGCCTGAGTGTTAAAGCTAAGCTATTTCCCACCCTCATGTTAAGCCCAGGGGGAAAGACCCGTGTCAGATGTCAGGCTAATTGCTAAGGACTATGAGTAGAATCCGATTTCTCATCAAGAAGACTTTCTTTCTGGATGAGCAGCAAGGCCTTATTTATGGTTTATAGGCATCACCTATTCTTAGAAAGAAAACCTGAAGTGGCTCTCAGCACTGCCACAAATAACCACAGTTATTGTGGGAACACATTTCAATTTAAGTGAATAAATCCAGGGGCGCCTGGGTGGCTCAGTCGGTTGGGCATCCGACTTCAGCTCAGGTAATGATCTCACGGTCCGTGAGTTTGAGCCCCGCGTCGGGCTCTGTGCTGACAGCTCAGAGCCTGGAGCCTGCTTCCGATTCTGTGTCTCCCTCTCTCTCTCTCTGCCCCTCCCCTGCTCATGCTCTGTCTCTCTCTCTCTCTCTCTCTCTCTCTGTCAAAAATAAATAAACATCAAAAAACTTGTAAATGAATCAATCCATATGGAAAGAGCCTTTTCTGTCTTGTCCTTCTCTGTCACCAGTGCCTAGAAAGGAGGGCTTTCCGTGGATCAGGTCCATCATTGGTATTTTATATAGTTACTATGTGATATGACTATTTCGATTCTTTGTGCTGTTAATCTTTATTTCCAATATTCACGTTCAACTCATCATTTTTTCCAAGTTCTAAATGTATTCTTTATCTCAACCATTCTCATGAGGCACAAATTATCTCAAACACTTATTACTTACCCTTGTATTTTCCTTCTTGTCATTTTCAATTTTACCAGTTTTAAAACAAGATAGAAGTTACCATTAATTTCTTACAATTAACTGTCAAATAGATTTGGCAACCTATTTTACGAGCGCTCCCCTTTGGTTTCCCCATCCCTACCCATCCTCCTGCAGATTTTGCTTTCCCATGAGGGCCAATGGTTAGTAAATTTTTGCTGTGTCTGCAAGTCCTTCCTTTCCTCCCATGAGATGATTGTTCTGTTGAGTACAGACCTCCGGGTTGCCGTATGAAGTGCTCAAAAGCTGATAGCTATTAGTTATTATTATTTGCACTAGATTGTCAATAGTTGTTCCTTAGCACCTTTGAGATGACACCCACTCTTTCCTGGCACCTGTTGGCAGGAGGACATATCTGTCGTAAGCCTAATTGCCATTGCTTTGTCGGTAACCTGTCTTTTCTCCGATGACTTTTAACACAACCTAGTTTTAACTTTGATGCTTTGAAGTGTCTCTCTTGAAAGTCTAGTCAGTAGGAGGATGGGGGTTGCCTGAAATCACCCTTTGGGCATTTGCTTTGTCCCTTCCCATCTATGGGGTCCTGAGGGGCATGTCCCCAGCACTCCTGTCCGGGGGCCCGCAGTCATCAAAGTCTGGTCTCAGTTCCCCACATCCCCTGCCTGTCCCCCTTACCGTGCACCCCCGCCCTCAGCTGTACTGAGGGATCCACCACCCCACCTGTGAGGGCACCATTCCTCATTTTTTCACAGTCTGATCTCTAAGCTGGGAGGCCTTACGGTGATGGTTGATTTTATGTGTCACCTTGGGCTCCGGACATTTGGTTAAACATGATTCTGGGTGTGTCTGTGAGGGCATTGGGGATGAGATTAACATTTGAGTTGGTAGATTGAGTAAACAGATTGCCCTCCCTAAGGTGGGGGGGGGGGCCTCACCCAATCAGTCGAAGACCTGAATAGAACAAAAAAGACTGAGCTTCTCATGAGTAAGAGGGAATCCCTGCTTTACTGCATTTTGCTGGGACATGGATCCTTTCCTGCCTTTGGACTTGAATCTGAAACATGGGCTCTTCCTGAGTCTCAAGCCTACTGGCTTTCAGACTAGAACTTACACCCTTGGCCCATCCGGGTCTTCAGCTTGCTACCTGCAGATCTGGGGACTTTTTATCTTCCATAATCAAATGAGCCAGTTCCTTACAATAAATCTTTTTCTCTCTCTCTCCCTCCCCCCTCTTTTCCATCTTAGTGGTGCTGCTTCTCTGGAGAATCCTGACTAATACACTTATCCCTTTTGCTTCTCTGTCGGGAAGACTGTACGAGGGCCTCCCTGCCCGCACCTCCTAGTACTCGTGCCCGCGTATCGTTCTTTCTCCTTGTGTGTGGGCAGGGCTTGTCTGTCGCACTAACAGATATGGCAAAGGCATCGGTACGTCCTTCCCGTGATAACATTACATTATATAATCATATAAGCCGCTTTAATGTATTGATTCACCTAGGATCTATGATCAGAAATGATTCCTTTGAGACTCTTAAATATGGAGAACAAGAGAGGGCTCCTGGAGGGGTTGTGGCAGGGGGGATGGGCTAAATGGGGAAGGGGCATTCAGAAATCTACTCCCGAAATCATTGTTGCACTCTATGCTAACTAACTTGGATGTAAATTAAAAAATAAAGAAAAAAGAAAAAAAGAAATGATCCTATGACAAATGACATAGTAACTACTCAATAAAAAGTTATTTTCTGAGAGAATAAATGTATTGCATGCCTCTGTCTTATCAACCCGTGACAATGTATTGTTCAAGGCATATCCCTCTTGGCACGTATGGGTGTGTGTGATTAAGGGCTATAAAATCTAGCCCAAAGCTCCATCTACACCACTTTGCTATTAACAGACGCCGGCTTCCCTTGTGATTCTGGAAGAAGTATCTGGGGCTCTGCGCCTACATAAAGATTGCACAGTCCAAGCCTGCAGGGTATGGGCCTCTTTCAGGGGGAGCACTCTACCCTTCCTGGTTGACAGAAAGTCTGTAGCCCCAGCAACTGTCCTATGGGGACCTCCTTTGATGAAGGAGTGAAACTCGAGTTGTAGCTAAACAAAGAGGAACAGTGTGTGTGCCTTCGTGCTAGTTAACTCTCTGTATCCTGTGGGAGAAAAGGGAGACCGGGAACCCTCTTGCCCGGGGCTCGTTCTGCCGTGTGATGTGTGAATTATCACCGATCACAGCTGTGCACGGACTTGTTAGAAAGACTAAGGACTTGGGATGCAGATTGATTGGGATTTATATCCCAGTTTACCTCTGACAAACTGAGCTCTTGGGCTATGCGTGTAACAATTCCCCTCTGCTTTGGCTTCTTTACCTGTTCACTGGGGATGACCGCAGCTCCCTTTCTGGGTTGGTGGGAGGGTTAGAACACAGTGTCAAGCTCCATCATGACTGGTTATTGCTGCTATGACCACTCCCCTGTCATTGCAAGGCTGCTGCAAGCCGTAATGACTATTGACCGCCAATCTTTGTTCCCCTATTTCCAGTTTCTCCTCCCTCCTACTTGGTGCTACCAGATTCGTACGGTTCCATTTCAATAGTGTGGTTCCTCTGCTCACAGATATTCCCTGGCCCCCTATTGACTACTCGGTTGTATTCAGAAGCTCTGGCATAACGCACAAGCCCATCTGTCTGGGAGATCCGTCCTCCACGAGGCTCTTCCTAGCCCTCCGGGGAAGGAGGTGTTGGATGCTGTGGTACATGATGCAGACGTCAGGGGTCTTGCTGGCTGAGTGCCCAGCTGGGTACCTTTGGGGGAATTTCTCTTTGCTTTGGGAGCAAATACATGCAACCACTGGCCGAGGTGGGGGGACCCAAACCCTGCCTTTTCGCCTAAGTATATGATGTCCCCAAAGGCCTCTCCCAGCCTCAGCGCTTCTCATGAAGCCAGCTGAGATCTCTGTTTTAACTCTCAGGCCAACCTCACCCTCTGCCCAATTCTGGGGACTGAAGGATGCAAAGACAGGGAAGACTACCTTCTGCGACAGGAAGGCCAAGTAGTCTTGCGTCCACAGAATGCCCCTGCTCCACGCTTTCCAAAGCCCTAGGGAGCACCTTAAGATGCAGGAGGTTGACTCTGTGTCTGGGAGGCTCTAAGACGAGCACTGGCCAAGGCAACACTGTGCCAGCAAGGAGTTAGAGCCGCACCTCACTGGCTCCCCGCCCCCTCCCCCATTCCCGGAGGGCTACTCTGTCGTATCTGTCCATACCTGGCCCTAGTCCTACTCACCTGGTCCACTTGTGCTCTTGCCCTGGTGACTGTGCCCACCTTGTGCCAGCCCTGATGCCCGTCCTGCAACACTTCTGTCTTCCTCACCCAACCTCTGAACAGACCTTTGCTCTGGACTTTGTTTGGCCAGCCCGGCTCCTCTCCCTGTCTGCCTACCGGCCCCAGAACGCAGGCTGTGAAGGCCTGTGAGGCTCACAAAGCTGCCTTATTGTATAACAGCTTCCCAGTCTGAATTTCAAGCTTCAGACCCGTAAGTCCAGCTGACGACCTGATGTCTCCACCTGGGGACCCTCAGAGGGACACCTGCGATTCACTGTGTTCCGGTGCTGTGTTTTCTCCAAGTTTTTTTCCTTCAGCTGTGTTTTGCATGTCACTTGGGGTGATTTTATTCGGTAAATTAAATGCCTGAAAGATGTCATAAAAGTCTGCATTTAGAGGTACGCTGTCTGTTTTTTTCATCTAGTACACTCTGAGCGTCCATTCTGCACCAGACTCTGCAGAAGGAAAGGGCAGACCTGTCCCATGGAGGAGTCAGAGGCTGATGACGAGATCACAAGGTAAGCAGTCACATTGCCCAGGACTGAATCCCGTGTATTTTCCTAATTTCTTCTTGCTCCTTCTCTGTCTGCACCACACGTACGACTCTCAGGTCCTATAGTGCAGACCGGCTTTTGAAGTTCACATGCATTCCCTGTCTCCAGACCCTTTCCCACCACCCTGACAGGATCCCATGAGGGCAGGGCAAATTCTAAGCTGCTCAGCCATGCTTGGAAGGTCCTTTCCCCCTTGTCTTCCCTTCCTGCCTCCTTTGCACATAAAACTCAACATTACTGAACTATGTCACTTCACAAAACATGCTAGACTCATTTATACCTGTGCCCTTTCTGGAATATCATTCTCTCTGCGTGAGTAGTCTCCCTGACGTGACCACTGGGCAAAGTCCTCTCTTTCCTTTCAGCTTGAGGTTAAGCATCTGTGAAGTTTTCTGGAACCTTCTAATTGGCTGCACTGCTCCTTTAGTCTTTGCTTAATCTTGCACACCTCCCTACTGCCCAGGTATTGCCAGACCCTCATGCACACTTGTGTCTCTAAACAGACTCCAAGCTCCCTAGGCACCCCACTGATAGACTGACCATACAAACAAATACATAAATAAAAAACTCTGATCTAAAACTCACAGCAACACATTACCTACAATAAAGCCCAGAAAGCCAGCCTGCCGTTAGTCAGACTGGTAGGAAGTCAAACCGCTATCTTTAGTAACAATCCAGGAAGCTAAACAGTAACCCCTTTGACAATTGGCCCCAGACAGTGAGCACTTGATTAATAACAGCTTCCCTAATTTTAGTCCTTGATTCCAATTGGAACCAACCAGAGAAAGCCAAATATGCGTCAGTAACCCATCACGAAGGATGGCCGCCTCTAGCAGCCCACCTGTGGCTCCCCCTGCCAACGGCTCCAATCAGGGCTCCCCTTACGCCCTCCCTTCTTTCTACTCCAAAGCTTTGCCACCCATCTGCCTGACTTGGCGTCTCTGCAGAATGCAACCTTTGCTTGTTCTTACTTGGCTGATCTTTGTTTATTCCCATGCAGCACACTGAAGGTGTTCCATGGAAAGACCACCGAAATTGTCCCTGGCACATCAGAAGACGGAAAATGACAGGGTGCGCCCCCCTCTCTTTCTGAGGCAAAAGCTGCGTGAAGCCAGTACACCAGTTTTGTGCATGTTCTGTGAGGTACCCGCAGCTTTGTCTCCTGTGCCTTCTGCGGTCAGAACCCCAGCCTCCACCTGCTGCTTCATTGCTATAGGACCCTAAGAAATTCAGGATTATTTTACCCTTCATTTGTTTTTCAGACTTAGGCCAAAGTCCGCTGCCCACAATGTAGCTTTTGTTCTTTCAAATAACTCGGGAGTAGTTCAGTTTTCACAGTTAAATGAATATGAGCCTTTGAAATACATATAACATAAATGGGATGGACGTTTCGCCCATCGGATTTGGCAGCTTCACAAAACTGACCTGAACCTTCTCGTGACTCTTGGATTCCAGTTTCCAGCTTGAGGCGGGGAACGGCAGACTCACCGATGTATTTAATACTCATGAGAACCGCTGGAAGGCTGGGAAGGTAGCCTAAAGAGAAAGGTTCCTGTGAAGAAAGAGGAGGTGAAAAGGGGACTCTTTCTGCCCTCTGGAACTTAACATGCCAAGAGAGATTGAATTTGAGTTTGGAGCTAGTCTGCATTTCCTCATGGGATTCTTGCATCTGGGTTGTGGACCCAATAAAATGGAGACTTCTTGACCAGGTACCAAAGCTTTCCGAACTGTGGCCCCCATGGGACACTCCATCTCAGCGTCAGCTTCTTGCTGGAAGCCTTTGGCAAGTCAGCGATTCTCTCTGCATCTATGTTCTCCTTTTATAGTGGAAACACAGGGTTGTTTTGAGAATCAAAAGAAATAACTTTCATGAGCATTTGCAGATTGTCAAGTCTTAAAAACATTGCTATAGTTATTATTATTGTTATAAGAATTCAATGATACATGTTAAAATGAGTTTCTTGGTTGAATGGTTAAATATTGTAAAAATTACTTAAGAGACATGTAGAGCCTCTTTGAGTAGGTTATAAAATCAGACAACTGGGAAGACCTGCCATGGTGATTAAAGTTCCACCGTGAACCGTGGCTTTATGGCACGTATCAGCACCTTGGTGCTGAGAACAGTGCCTGTATCAGTTCTGTGGATATATAGAGTCTAAAGAAGGGTTCAGGGTCCTCCAGTTTGATCCTGGTGATTCAGAGATGGCAAAATAGAGCTCCCAAGGAAGCTGGTTTGCCCAAGGCTATTCAACTACGGAAAACTGAAGTGGAACCTACAATAATAACACAGGGCCATTGAGTTATACATCCAAAACTAATGCATCATTGTCTGTCAACTATACTCAAATTTATTTATTTAATAAGTTTTTATGTTATTTATTTTGAGATAGAGAGAGTGGGCACAAGCAGGGGAGGGGCAGATTGAGAGGGAGAGAGCATCCCAAGCAGGCTCCGTGCCGACACGGGGCTTGAACTCACAAACCATGAGATCATGATCTGAGCCAAAACCAAGAGTCAGACGCCTAACCGACTGAGCCACCCAGGCTCAGCCCCTCAACTGGATTCCAATTTTTTTTAAGAAAAGTAAGTGATACTCTTAAAAAAACATCCTGATCATAAAAGGTAAAGACCAAAAACTGTTAGCAATTGAAAAATACTAAGGAGACACAACAACTAAATGCAGTATGGGATTCTGGATTGAATCCTAGAGCAGAAAAAGGGACCCTCATGGAAACACTGATGAAATCTGAATAAGGTGTGTCATTTAGTTACCAGAAGGCCCCAGTGTCAATTTTCTACTTTTGATCATTGTACTATGGCAATGGAAGACGTCATCATTGGGGAAGCTGGGTCAAGGATATGCAGGAATTCTACTTTCTCATGACTTTTTTGTAAGTCCCAAACTATTTCCAAATAAAAAAAAAGTGTCGATCTGTTTTCTTTTGAAAGAGTAATAAAACAGGCCTGTGCGGCTTCCAGTAAAGATCCAGGCCATGCACTCTCCCACTCAGGCTTCAGAAACACTCAGCGATGGACAGGACCTACCTCGCCATAGTGTCTCAAGTACTTATTTTTCAAACCAGGCTCTAAAGATAGGTTGCGGAGGTTCTTAAACACAAAGCAAAACAAACCTATTAGAGTTATTTTCCCTCATCAAACAATGGTGATTTCAACGCTGTAGGGCCCCTTTCATTGTTTTTATCTGTTTTATATGTCGGGGTGCTGTTAAAGATTTTCTTTGAAGCCAAGGGTTCAGCTGCTGAAAATGCTTGAAAACCACATACCTGGAGGAAAAATCAAACGCTGAAGGCGCAAGGGGCAAAGCTTCCCACGGGCGAGTCAGTGTGAATGTGTGGAACCACGGGTGTATTAGGACAGGGGCAGAGGAAACGAAGGTTCATTCATTAAATATTTTCCAAGCTCCAATATGTAGACGTGACACCCATAGAAAGTGGACTTTCTGGTGATCGGAGTTCACCGGCAAGTCTTTGTCACTCTCTGTGACTAAAAATATCTCTGGGGGCGGGGACAGCTGTCCTTGCTTACCTGAATCATCTCCACTGTGCCTGGGACTCCAGGGGGACAGATTGCTTCCCCCCTCGGGGGGTGGCTGTGAGCACAGGTTCCCAGGGAACGTGTCTCCACGTTCCCAGGGATGATGTGGCTGAGGTCCTCAAATGAGGAAACATGTCAGGGAGGATTTTATTTCATGTATTTCACTTTACTTTGCTATTTTGAAGGGCTTCATATCTTAGAAAGAGAAAAGACAGAGTTGTGGGTAATTCCAGTGAGTTGGTCTGCAAAATATTTCCTATGAGAAGGGCTCCAGATAGTGCTTTGTAGACTGCCCCATCCCTTGACCTAGAGTAAAAATACCTTTGATATCATGCTCCAGTGTGCACATATGTGTTTACACAAATGCATTAAAAGATATATAAAATTGAACAAAATATATTACACAGTACTTACCCTTAGTGCTTGCCATGTACTCATTTTCTATTCTATTCTATTCCATTCCATTCCATTCCATTCCATTTTAGCCATTCTATACTCTTTTGTTTCCAAAAAAAATTGGAAAGTAACTATAACTTGACCCACGAATATATTTCGTAATTTTAAAATTGATGTAGGGACAGCATCAGGAAGGTATGGGCTAGAGGACTTATCTTAAAGCGGGCTTTGCATTGCATGTGACAGTAGATTATGAAAATGTCAACTCACCATATCAGTGAAGGGGACAGGTGGCAATTTTACTGCCCCCCCCCCCACATCGGCTCCAAGTCTCCCCTTGGGGTAGCCAATGATGCTGGTGGAGTTTCAGCTCTTATTGATTGACAAACATCCAGCTCCCTGGCGTGTTCCGAGAACAGTGTGACTAGACAGGGTGAGACGTCACATCCTGTGTTAGGCAGAACTGGGCACCGAGGAGAACAGGTAGCTTGGAGAAGTTGAGCAGGCTTTGTACGTGGGCTCCCGAGAACTGGTCAAGGACAGAGTGTGGGTACCCAGGGAGACGAACTTGAGGGTGCACGAGGCTGCACCGTATTACAGTCCATCACAGCCCTCAGGGGCTGAGCGCCCAGGGAGCCAGTCAGCAAGCTGGAGGAGAGCGAAAGCAGGGAGCCTCACTGCCAGGAAAGCTTTGTTGATTTTAAATGCACATTCCCTGCCTTTTATGACAGTCGTCTACCTGCAGATTGATAATATTAGCTGAGTGTTTGTAGAAGTTGTTAGACCTAAGTGCTTTACATATAAGGACTTATTTAATCCTCATAATAACCCTAGGAGGCTTGATTTATTATAACCATCCCCGTTTTGCAAGCAAGGAAACCAAGGACAGGAGAGGTTAAGTACATCGTCCAAGATCCCGCTCCAGATTTGGTCTCGTCCATCTGGCTCGAGATCCTGCCGCTGATCTCTGATCTGCCTTGCCCCCTGCGGGGCAGCCATGCTCTCGGCATGCGGGCTGACGTGGGTCAAGGAAAGACCCACGGAGAAGAAGATAGACTCACCATTTCCAATGATCGTTCTCTCAGAGCATCAAGTGTGAAGCGGGGATTGATAACCTACCGAGCTGCAGAGATACAGGGCCGGCATGATCCCAGAAGGCCATCTAAATCCCTCCAGGAACCTTGCGATTTATCCTATAGGTTGGAGATTTCTGGAACACTGGTTCTGAAGGACAGGATCAAATAAGTTTTGAGGAAGTTAGAGTTAGAAGAATCAAGCAAGCTCCTCCTACGTGGGATTAGTTAATACTTGGGGAGGAGAAGCATAGCCCCCGTAGTTGTCTGACCACCCAGTATGTTTTGCCCTGAGCATCCCCCCTAGGTTTGGGCAGTACTCAGTGAGAAAAATAGCGTGCTGTTGCGAGGTTTAAAGCAGGGGTGGGGATAGGGTCAGCATTTTAGGAAGACTATTCTGGACTCAGAGTTTAAAATGGATAGAGGGACATGGGAGGCTAGTGAGAATATACAGATGGCTCTAGGAAGCCTGGGTAGGGGGCAAAGAGACAAGCCCGGGGCACTTGTAGTGGACCGTGAGGTCAGGTATGTTAAAGCAACATTTAGGGGGAACAACTGGTGGGACTTTCACACTGATTGGATATGGAGTGTGAAGGAGAGGAGTGGACACAGGTGACTCCCATATTTTTTTTTTTTTACTTAGGTGCCACCTGAGTTAGACGGCAGTGGGAGAGGAGATGGGGTGAAGGAACGAAGAGTCTCAGGCACACATGGAGTGTCAGGTGCTAATGGAAGATTGAGTCGGAGAAGCCCAGCAGGGAGGTGGATCTATAAGGGGCTCTAAGTGAAGGACCCAGGTCAGGCAGGAGAATCACACTTGGCCTGAATTGGCATACTAGTCGCAATCAGACTCACAAAACAAGACTCATCCTCCAGAAGAGGGTATGGGCAAGCAGAGGGCTAAGAAATGGATCCTGTGAATCACCCATCTTTAGTGGATGATCAGAGAAACATGAGTCCAGGAGAAAGAATGCTCAGAGATGCGGATCCGGCTAGGAGAGGAACGGGGATTAAAATATATGAACTGGGAAGCCGTGAGCTCTTTAGGGTTCACTCCACTGTCCACCCACCTCCAGACTGGGTTCCCGAAACTCTCAGAGTGGGAGAATCTGTGGTTAAGAAAACATGTAAAATTGAGCTGGAGGGGCAAGGTCATGGGTCAAATTCTGACATCACCAGAGATCCTATTTTAGCATTTCTTTTTTTTTTTTTTTTAATTTTTTTTTCAACGTTTATTTATTTTTGGGACAGAGAGAGACAGAGCATGAACGGCGGAGGGGCAGAGAGAGAGGGAGACACAGAATCGGAAACAGGCTCCAGGCTCTGAGCTATCAGCCCAGAGCCCGAAGCGGGGCTCGAACTCCCGGACCGCGAGATCGTGACCAGGCTGAAGTCAGACGCTTAACCAACTGCGCCACCCAGGCGCCCCTATTTTAGCATTTCTAATGAAACAGCACGTTATGTCCAACAATTTGCATCTTGCATTAGTGACCAAATAGTTAACCTATCGACTGCGTTTTTGTGTCTCATGCACAATACCTGGAACTTTCAAACATTGAGTGACATCAGTGATATCATCCACTACTTAAAATAACCCTAGGGGGAAAACACTATGTTTATTTTCCAGATGAAACGCACAGGCACATGCACGTGCAGGCACGCACACACATGCATGCACACACATGAATGCATGCATGTGAACACACAGGCACATATGCACGTACACACATGCACGCATGAATGCACACACATACATAGGCACACACACACGCACACACTCCAGGCTTGGAGTAGTTAAGTGCTGCTCCAGTCGTCAGCGGCAGGGCCAGAATTCTCACATGGATTTGTCTACACCCAGAACCTGGGCCGGTGGCCACGACGCTGTGCAATATCAAATCCACTGGGTTGTAAATATCTAGTGAGAATCTTCTCTGTCACTAGACGCTCTTCAGGTTGTATCTCTCAAAGAGTCTCGGCAAGATGCTTACGCATTCTGCTCACTCAGTGCACACACACACACCCAGAACTAAGCTTTAGCGGAGCACCTGGGTGGCTCAATCTGTGATCATCTGACTCTTGATCTCGGCTCACATCGTGATACCAGGGTCATGGGATTGAGCCCCGTGTCAGGCTCTGCACTGAGCATGATCCTGCTTAAGATTCTCCCTCTCCCTTTGTCCCTCTCCTCCACGCGCGCTCTCTCTCTCAAAAAACAAACAAAAAAGCCCCTAAGCTTTAGTGCCTAACTGCTGAACACCATTTGAGCTCCACCATTTAAGGATTCTGTCTTTCCTCCTAAGATACCTTGAGGAATACCTTGACATTTGCATACACTCAATCAGAAATGCTTAGGTAAGTAGAAGCAACCTGTATAGGCTACAATTACGTGGCAGTATTGGAGGGTGGGGAAGGACTGTAATATATTCTAATTTTCGAACATAATCATTTACATGCATTGTGAGAAGGAAACAAATCGAGATGTAGCACCCGAAGGTGAGGCTAATCATAGTTTGCAGCCGTTGTTGTCCTAGAAACAGAGCACGTGGATTACGGCCTCTTTTCCTTACGTGGACAGTGTCTGAAGGCAGAAAAGACAAACCTCTTCCTCGTGCTTGTCTTGGCGGCATTCTCTCTCTCATCTCTGTTCAGGTTGATAAGAAAGTACGGAGCAGGCAGGCCCCTTGACTTCATTCTTTGAGAACGAGAGAAAACACCGTATCCCCTTACGACGTCTGTCAGCTTGAAAGAGCTCTGAATCACGGCACAACGGCATTTTATATTTAGCAATTCATTTCCCGTTCAGATCAAGGTGACAAATCATATGAAAATAGCTCCTCGTGACTCACATCAGCTTTTTTTTAAGACTTTGGTAACAGAGGTTGACAAATGATTATCAGCCCAGCATGGAGAGCGGTTGTCTTGGCCATTAACAAGATCCACGGTCCTCACCTGCTTCAGGATGTGATCGTTCCTGCTTTCCTTTGGCTTACCACCCACAGGGAGGGGACAGGCCGTGTTCCAGATCTCACAGAGCACTCGTGAGCCACACTGAAAGGTGGCTTCTTAATTTTGCCACACCCAGAAATCTTAGCGCCTATCTGAGGCGTAAGACAAAGGCACAGCATGTGTGAAGAGTTTAGCAATATTACAATTTGTATAATGAAAGGTGCAAAAAGCTGAAAAGCTGCTAATCATTCAGAAGGGTCAGAATCACCTCATTCTTGTTTCCTGTCACTAGAGCCTGGAGCTTTTCTGTCCCTGTCCTACTCAGAATCAGCACCTTCCGGTTGGTTGTGCCCAAACTAACCTCTGTTTAATTAATTAACTCTTTTTTTTTTTTTTTTTTTTCCAACCGGAAGCCATGCTGTCTGAAGACAGCATCTTAGGCACTGGGGTGTGAGGCTGGAGGAAGTCTGGTCCCTGGTTGGGAAGGGGCCCACGGCCCTGGAGAAATCGACAATATAACTATTATATTTTGATTCCATGTAGAGGTAGGCGTGTGGGACCACAAAAAGAGCCTGAACAATTTTGTGCATAGGTAGGTCTAATCTGATTTCAGAGAGGGGCAGACGTTTGGCGTGAGATATGGCACAGGAGTTAAAGCTCACTGGGAGCCAGTAAGACCTGGGCTTGGGTCTTAGGTCAGCCACTTTGGACGTGGTTTTTGTGGCTTGATTTTCTCATCCATAAATGGGGACAGGATAGTACAGCACTCATCCTTCAGAA